GCCTCTAGTCTCCCGATGGCTCTCCATCGTAGTTCTTCAGGCAAATGATGCCTAGAGGTCATTATTACGAATTGGCTATCTCAGATTTTCAATGTCGCAATCACAGTAAAATTTGTGTGCTTTCTCTCAAACTTGGACTTTTATGCTCCAGGCAGATGACGTAAGCCGAGTGCAGCGCCACTAATTTGCATATTGCAATTTTACTCAGCTACTCTTAGTGGACAACATATGCAAATTTTGCACGGTTTGGCTTACTTTTGAAAGAGTTATCGCTATTTTTGTGATTTTTCCTTAATTTATGATAACCAGTGTATATATAAAACCGTATATACCTAGTTAATAATGGTTTTCTTATAGCTTATTTTTAAAGCAAATTGGGGGTCTATGCTTTCACCATACCATGTTTTTGCTTTATAAAAGTCTAAAAATAAATATTACCAAAAAAATATTGAAATTTTATAGTTTACGAGAAGGAGTTCTGTAGTGTTTCGCCCAAGGTTTTAGAAATTATAAAAATCTTTTCGTTTTTTTTTTTTTTTTTTTTTTTTTATTACTTCACTTTACTCAAATTTATAGCTAGTGAATAAATTTGAAAAACATTTATTGTAAGTAAATTTATAAATAATTCATTTAAAGTTTAATAAACGGAAAACAAGCAATTGTGGATCGTACTGTAATGCATAGTTTTTTTCCCTTAGTATTTGAACTTGGAAAAAATAAATTTTAAAGATAAATTAAATCATTCTATTGAGTCCTGAAAATAGAAGAAGAAAATTTTTTTTTGTTTTGTTTTGAGGACGATTATACCTTTGAATGCTATTTCAATGTTGATGCTATTATGTTTAAATTGTTCTGGTTAATAAAGAGTATCGAATTGTTTTTTTTTCTTCTCTTTTTAAAAGTAGTATAATATTTTGAATCCATCCTTTTTTTCTAGATGCATTGTTAGCTGATTTACAGAATCAGACTCAGTTGAACTTATCGTCGGCTGTCTGTCCAACATCTCCTACTGGTGGTAATAGCTATGCAGCAGTGATGTCACATGCTCCGCGGCCTTCTACAGCGACTGTTACTACAACAGTTACTACTGAAAGATATGAATATCGAAACGGAGAACCTGATAATCAGGTAATGTGATATTTTTTATAGGACATGTTACTTTTTTCACTTTTTTGTTGTTGGTTGTTTCGAAGAATATGTAGTTATTATTTTTTGTTGCTGATCTTTTGTTCTATCAGCCTTTTTTGTTTCTTAAAAAAAAGATTTATATTTTGCAAAGGCATCCTAAAGCAAAAAATGCTCGAAACTGCGTCATACGTCGCTGAACAGTTATTTTCAGAACTGTTAACGTTTTCCCTTTAGAACAATTATTTGGAGAACTATTAACGTCTTCTTCACTGCAAAACAGTTGATGTTCAAGTTGCGAGCAATACTTTATAATTCCTGTTTCATTATATAAGCATTCGCAACTAATGGCTAATGTAATATTTATCTAATTAAGGTTCCTTTTTTTCATATTTTTGCAAATTTAGTTTGCAATATAAAATAATTTGCTATTTATTAATATTAAATTACTATTTTTGACCCTTTGACGCAGAATTTTCTTTAAATATATATATTTTTTTTACTGTTTTCATTATTTTGTATTAATTTAGGTCAAAATAAGATAAAAATATTATATTTAGCATTTTAATAATTTTGGTTTATTGTTATGAAATACAGCATCGGACACCGGTGTCCCTTTTTGCGTTAAAGTTCCAAACATGACTCACTTCCAAACAAAAAAATATTTTTAAAAATTTGCAGTTATTTAGATCTAAGAGAAACAGTAATTCATCATTGAAATTTCTTTAATTTACAAAAATCGAATCTTGATAAACTTTTGAAGATGAAAAAAAATTAAGACTTCCTTTTTCGGATTTCATACTTTAGAACAAATATACAAATTTAATTCAATGAATTTAATAGATTTTTTAGTAACTATTAGATTTTTTTTATAATTAAGAAGTACCAAATTATAATTTCCCTTGTAATTAGAGCGTTAGAAAAATATATATAAAAATGACACAGGTGTCCCATTTGCGCCAAAGGGTTAAGGGCTTCATTTTTTACTCAGTTTTTTCAAAATTTAATTTCCGAAATCAAATTATTTGTTATTTAAGAAATAGTAATATTTAACTAGTTAAAGTTACATTTTAATATTTTTCTTTTCGCGATTAAGAAATAAATTTACCTAAAAAAAATTCGACGATATACTTCTAGCAATATTTCACTATACTTTCATACTGCATACTTTTTAATATTTTTCTTCTGGCAATTAAGAAACAAATTTGCCTAAAAAAAAAAATTCCAACTTCGAGCAGTTTTAAATTCTTAAACGTTTTGAAACATACATTTTTATAGGTGTAAAAACGGTAATTTTTGACTTATAAAGGGGACTGATTATGTTCTATCGCTTAGACACATTAAACCATTATATAAATGAAAATATATTTATTTAATCAAAATTTAAAAGTCTTATAGTGTTTTGATTTCCAATGGTGGTAATATTAATTTATTTAGCAATTGAAAAGTGTCGCTCGCCGGGAATAGTTTTATTATTCTAGTGCTAAGAGCTTTTTAAAATTACAGTATATTCTTGAAGATATTTCTAAAAATGTTTACTTTTTATGAAAACAATTCAATGAGTTTAAAATTAATTAATGCAATGAAAAATTCCTGTGAGCAAGAAAAGTTTTCAAAATTATTTAAATCATCGTACAAGGAAAATTGAAATCGCTGTCCTTGTTGAACTGGTATGTATCTTTGATGCGACTTAGATTCAAAATATTAGAATAATTCACTTTTCTTCAAAAAAAATTTCTCAAAAATAAAATATTATTTTTAACTAGTAAGGCAGTTTCCTGATTTAGAGTTTTTGAAGATCGCTTTAAGATCTTTAGACGATATTGTTCGTAAAAGTTTAATCGATTTCGATCTTAAAAGATCAGGGGAGATTTTCCACCCTTCTCTTCTTGTTATAAACAAACGATTTTGTATTGTATTAAAAATTTGTGAAAACAAGCATTTCTTTTTAATAAAAAATCATTTCTAAGACTGCACCAACAGTATTATTTATTGTAATTTTTTTATGCTTTTTCATCAAAATAAAAATTTATAATGAAATATAGATTTAGAAATTGAGAATTTGATTGAAAAAGAAAGGAAGAAGATTTTTAAAATGTTATTTCAAAAGTGCTGTAATTTGTTACATACCAAGTTTTAATGTAAATTTACGAATTGAAACTTATTATCGCAGCACAATATATTCATATGAAACAGCAAGCACTTAAAAATTCAAAGCCAAATTCAATTGCATAATCGCTTTTTTGCAATAATTGTTTTTTACTTCCTCTTCGTAATTCCTAATTAAAAATTGAAATACGTTATCTGTATTTAAATAAACAAGCTAAATGTTTCCACTTATTTTCAATAGGTTTATTTTAACTTTGTCTGCTTCATTCTTTTTCATCTAATTTTGAATGCTTTTGCAAATTTACTCAACAATTACAACACAAAAACACACAAAGTAAGTTGCATCACTTCTTTGAGGACTTCATTTATATTTTTGCTGGAACTGGTTTTTGAAAAGTAATAATTAAATTAGGCATGTGTTGCTGTGAACTTTAATCTCTTTAATGGGTTGACTATTCTAAATGCAGTGATGATAAATGGAATTCAGTTGAAGAAGATGAAGTCATTCATATATTTGATACTCACTTTATCATGTACACAATCTTTGATTACATTTCACAATATTTGTTTTCTTTTCAGCCCATATATCAAAATCAACATGCAGTCCACAGTGCTTTAAATGAAAAACCAACAGGCAAGCCAGACTTTGCTAGCAACTTGTCTGAATTAGACAGTCTTTTAGAAGATCTGAATTCTGCCCGTTACGCAAATTATCCTGGAAAAAAAGGTAATTTTTGCAAAAAATTTAAACTTTAAAATTGCGTAAAATAATTAAACGTTGTTTTAAAAACTTTTACTTTTCTGATGAATTTCTTTTACTTTTTGCTGTAGATTTTTTAAAAAAATTTCTGGTTTAGAATTTTTTTTTTTTTTTTCTGTAGAATTTATTTTACTTTTTTTCTGCTGAAATTCTTTTAACTTTTTTCTATAGATTTTACTTTTTTCTGCTGAAATTCTTTTTGTTTTTTATTGTAGAATTTCTTTTCCGTTTTGGGTATATTTCCGTATCGTGATCTGCAGCGCCAACAACAATCGCCAAGGTGCCAAATAGATTTGAAAATTGCAAATTTAAAAACAAAAAGAAACATGTAGATGCTTGCCCGGGGGTCGACATGCCCCTTTCTGTGATGTTTTTTCTAGTTTCTCACGGGCCACTGCCCGGAAGTTTCCAAGACTTGGGAATTATTCTGCCACAGATCACGATACGGAAATCTCCCCTCAGTTTTTTCTGCAGCATTTCTTTTACTTTTTTCTATAGAAGTTCTTTTTACTTTTATTAGGGGAATTTCTTTTCTTTTTTTATAGAGTTTATTTTTACTTTTTTTCTGAAAAAATTCTTTTAACTTTTTTTCTGTAGAATTACTTTTACTTTTTTTCTGCAAAAATTTCCTTTTTTTTTCTTCGATTTCCTGAGGAATTTCTTTTATTTTTTTCTTTGCAATTTCTTTTCAAATAGAGCTGTTCAGATTTTTGGCGCGTTTTTCTATTAACTAATGATTTAAACAAAATTCTTCAATAAGAATGTGAATGCCTTTGGAAAATTTCATTACTTGATACAATTGACAATTATAAAAAAATTTTTAAAAAATCTTAAAGCATCCCGAATTCCTCAAAACTACCTGAAAACATTTTATTACTTTCCTAAGGTGCTATTAATTAAGTTATTTTTAAGCAAAAAACGCTTACATTCGTTTTTATCTGAAACGGAGAGTCACATGATTATTTACGAATTGACGTCACACGTGTCCATCCGCCGTTCATTTACAATCGCTGTGCTGTGAAAGCCAATACGTTCTTGCTTTCGTTTAAATTTTCATAATAAAATCCAACTATTTCAGATGTTAAATTACTATAAGTGAGAGGCAAGATTTATATAATAAATTGTGCCCTTATGTAGTTTAATGAAAATGTGGGTTTAATATAACGCATTTTTTTATAACATTGTTAAATTTCAATCGTACCCACTGAAACATAGTTAAAAGTTGGCGAAATTTTCTAGTTCTGAATATTCATGATTTTTTAGTTTAGTAAAAGATGCGTTAGAATGAGTTATATAAGCCTGATATTACTTATGCGTTATAAATACAAAGTAATTTTGTTGTTTCATTTTTTAACCATATTAATCTTAATTTTAGTGTATATTTCAAGTTTCTTTCTAAGATTTATTTTCATGTCAAGGGAAAGAAATCTTGTATCAATTTTTTTATCGAATACTAACTTTATTTTAATTGCGTTAATCAATATAATCTATAAGAGTATTGAAATCAAGCTTGTGCATTTATTTAGCTCTACATTATTGAAACAGGAATTAAATTTTATAAATGCATATAAAAATAATTTTTCGCAATAGCAAAGGTGCTATTTACTCGAATAAAAATATTGAGTTGAGTAAAGTTATCAACATTACTGTCTATTTTCTAATTATTGAATAAATAATAAGGATTTCTTTTCATTTTGCGTAAGTTTTTTTTATATTTTATTATTCTTAAGATTAAGTGAAACAAAAACGTCTAGCTTAATGATAACCGCTGAAATTTTGTGGATGAATTAAATAACATCAAGTGAAATTTTAAGTACAAGTACATAGATTATGAGGATGGGCAGATATACTTCAATGAACTTGATGCTTGTAAGTGTTGATTCGTTTTCGGTGATACCAAATATTTAAGCTGAGATTTTTTCAACTACTTTAATTAAAAATGTATAATGTATTAATTTTACTATTTACTCAAAGATTAATAGATAAAAGCGTTAATGTGTGTTAAAATATTTAATACATAATAAAAAAAGGAAAACATAAACTGTTTTAGTAAATATTTACTTGAAATGAAAATCCTTCAACTCTATTAAAAAATAAAAAACAAAATAAGAGCTAAATTAAATTACATTACTTGAATTTTTGAACTTTAGCCGAAAGATTATAACAATAATAGATTTATATTTTTCAGTGGACTAGATTTATGAAAATACTAATTTGTTTTAATGCAATACCATAAAATCTTCTACTCCATATCTAACTGTAAACTATTTCTATTGAATCTGTGACTGATTTTAATTAAGTAATTAGGCTGTAATGAAGCATTATTTTAATTTAAAAATAAGTGGAATAAAATAATATTTTCTGTGAATTTTAACACCATTGATTTCGGCCGAAAGGAAATGTTAATTCGTGGTGAAGAGCTGCATAATCATTTCTTCAGATATTTTAATGATAAATAAACAGTTTGAAGTTTTAAAAATCTTTCATTTTGCACACACTCTCAAAATCCTAAATTTAATTCACAAAATATTTAATAATAATTTACAAAGGATGTTCATACGATATAAGTGATATCAAAACTAAAAAGCATTGAAATAGCCTTAACGGATCAAGGTGGCACGTTTCATTCAGCACATGTGACGTCATAACCAATCAGGGATCGTTTTTGGTTGCTTCTATTACGGAGGCTTTTTTGGGCAATTTAAATGTTTAATAATTAAATAAATAAACATTTGGCGGGGGGGGGGGGCCCAGATTTTCGGTTTCAGGAG